TGGGTTCCAAAATGTTCCAAAGCAGCCCTCTTCCAGTGCCACGGATGGCTGTGCTTTTCAAGGGCATCCATGAGTCAAACTCTGGTGTCGAAATCTTTTGAAGATCTCAAAACTCCTTCAGCACATGTAATTATAGATCATAAAGTTGGTGTATGTGTCCAGCTTCAACTCTTGTTCCTTTTCCCAAGTGTCCTGAAGTATGAAATCCGAGGTCCAGACCAAAGAGCATGCAATATGCCTTTCATCAGATCGGTGAGGCGCGGCGATGATGAGACGCCATTTTCCGGAGACGTGGTTGAGTTGAGAAGCCTTCAGGTTACGGGTTCTTTTTGGGGGGAAGCTTATGGCTTATGGTTGACGCTACAGCGCTGCTACAGCTGTACAGCGTGGCCAAAGGCCCAAAGGCATGGAAACACCATGAGTTTTGTTTCCACAATCCTGCGGATGCCGCGAGGCGAATGCTCGGGCCATGTGTGAGGGCCTCGAGATGGCGTACAATGCCGACCACGCGCGGAAAGATCCCTCGCACTTGGAGGAGAAAGCCAGACACCGAGACCGCCGAGACGAGTGTGTGATGTCCCTGGTCCCATGGCTTGGCAAGCGAAGGTGAGCCGTGGCTGAACGAAACGGACGCCTGTCTCAACCACCAGCCAGTACAGCAATGGCCTCCAACCTAAGAGCGATGGCCTCCAACCGAAGAGCACTTCCTATTCAGTTGGAAACGCTTCGTCCATGGTTTGAATGACCGCCTGGCAGGAGCTCAGCATTTGGGGCTGTGCAATTGGACACGTTGGCCGCAGAAAGAGGGAGAGCCCCAAATGCCGATTTGCAAGAGATATCCACGTGCTTCAACCGTTTGGGAAGTCAGTGAACAGCCATGAGATAGGTCGAGATGTTGAGAAGGTTCATGACATCAACACCTTTTTTTGCGCCCACAGGCGACGGAAAGAACCTCACCATGGTGAAAACGCTGAAAATGCGGCCAACCCCCCTGTTTTGCACAGATGGCCTGAATCCACATCTGCCATTTAAGGGAATGGTGGCGCAGTGGCTCTGGCCAATGCTTTTGCCCTGGGCTGCGGAGAGAAGTTGCAGACCATCATCCTGGACGAGAACGACATTGGCGCTGCAGGCGAGGAAGAACACGACGAGGACAACCGGTCCGGGCGAGCGACACAGTGCGACGAGCACCCCTTGTTACTAATTTAGCTTCTATACCTGGGTCTTCATAAGTATGCTTTGTTTCCGCCTTTTCAATCAAAACTGCTTTTTCAAGCAAACGCCAACTATTTTGATCTATTTTGTACTGAAGCACTTTTTGCATTGCCATGTTTTCGATGGTATGTCAAGGTTTTGAAACGGCGACTTTTCCCGACCAAACGGCGACTTCCCCCGACCAAACGGCGACTTTTGCCAACTGCTAGTTTGGTAACCTTTGTAAAAACATCGAAACGGCACTTTTGAAATGAAACGGCGTTTTTGACGGCAAACGAATGAAGTTTGTGCTGTTTCGCCAAACGGCTGAAAAAACACACCCGTGGAAGGTCCAGGTATACTAATGGCCTCCACCCCAATAGCGATGGCTTCCAACCTAGCTACTATTAGTAATGCCCGTTGTTACTTGCAGGGATGCCCTTTGCTACTAGTAGCTTCGTTTTGCTAACCAGAAGTGTTGGTGCCGAAGATTCTGAGAACGACTGTGACATAAAGCGCCCACACGGGTTGACCGTTCCGAACGCCAGGTGCCAAAGCGTTGGGTGCTGGGCTGAAGGCCGTGCCATTTCTCAAAGATCCTCAGAGTTGATCGAAAGTCGATCGAAGTTTCCAGCGAGAATGAGGATTTCTGAGGTGAAAGTCCTCCGAAATTGTTTGTTGGTGCTGAGAAAGAAAGGTCTAGAGTCTAGATATGTGAGTGCCTTGTGGGTGCTGTTAAAAGGAAAGTCTAGATGGGTCTAGAGTCTATAGCTAATCACCCATTCTCAACAAACAACCCATGTTCTAAATGGAATTGTTGCGCGAACATTCTTGGGAAAAAGCTAGATGTCCTCGGTGGACCTTGATCCTTTCCGCATGCGGACGAAGCAGAGCGGTACAGAGCGGATAGGATCGGTACGAAGAGATCGTCTGACTCGCTTGAGGCCAGTGGATGACACAGGAGAATCGATTTGTGCCTCCAACCTACTAGGGATGGCCTCCAACCTATAGCGATGGCCTCCAGCCAAGTAGCTTCTAGTAATGGCCTCCAACCTGCTAGCGATGGTCTCCCATTGCACCCAGATAGCCCTGGTACTTATGTTTTGCCGAGTAAGAACCGGTTACTCCACATTGCTCCACGCACCCCAAGGAACTCAGCCTCCCCAAGAATCCGCTGGGCAAGGGCTTCGTTTCCCTCTTGGAAGGAGCACCACATGTGCAGAGAGCATTGGAAACGAATACACAAGTCATGTCAATGTTCATTCACGCTTAGCGTTTGCTTCTGCTAATCTGCTGCAACACCGAAGAAAATACAAACATGTTAAAGGGAATCGCTGGGCAATGTTGGGCATGTTCTGCTCATCTTCGTTGCCATGTGCGGTTTGCCGCTATCGTTGCATCACCACAGGAATTAGCCCGGCATTGAAGGTCTTCGATGCGGCAGAGGCCGGTTTTGCGCGGTTAGCGGACCCACGACGACCAATGGTCCCATGACCAACGGTGAACACCTTTTTGTTTGAAAAGAACGCAAGGGATCGAGGTGTTGAATTTCGGAATCTTTCGGATATCTGTCGGTGTTGGATTCCTGTGTGGCCTTGAGAGCAAACGACTTCTATAAGAGCCGGTGGCCCTTGGGGAGGCGAATCTGGACGATGAAGCTGCATTGGCTACAGCCAAGACCATCACAAGGTGGCCAATGCTGAGGCGAACGCCCGTTGGGCCGTTGAGTGTCGTAAGCGTGAAAGCTGACCAGATGAAGCTCTGATGGGCAGATACTTCTGAAGCTATACAATAGAAGTATCATCTGAACCTATTGCTACAAGTCAAAGACCTCATTTTACTGGGGATGGTCATACAAAACCAATACTTAACGAGGTAAAAGACCAGGTTTTACTGGGTCTTTGGAATGGTAGGGTATAGCTTCTTCATGGATCTTGATGATAGGTTCTGTCGAGCTATCTATTTCTGTCGAGCGGCCATGCGGTCGATGGAAACGACGGACTTCGCGCAGGTCATTGCGGCTGGCGGGAAATGAGCCTTGGAAATGCACAAAGACATCCAATATCACCCCTTCCAGCCAAAAAAACGAGATAGTTACTTTGGGAAGCAATGGGAAGGGGTTTTGGTTCTTCCCTCAATCTTTCGATGACGAACCACAACAGAAAGACCAACAAAGGAGCTCCGTGCTCCAACCTTGGAGCTCCTTCAGGACTCGGGTCGAGCGATTTCGCTCGCCCTTCATGCTCGACTCGAGGTCATGACGATTCTGGGCATCGAGGGCTTGGTACGTTCCATGCTGCTGGCCAGGGGCCCGGCAGAGGGGCCCTCTTCGGAGTCTCCTCACCTCGAAACTCTCGCGGGAGCGAAGATGGTTTGGTGCGGAAATCCGATGAAAATCAAACACCACTGTTTCATACCCAGACGGGGATGGTCTGGGATGGTCTAAGAGCGATGGCCTCCAACCTATAAGAGCAAAACAAAAAGGCTAGGTGTCATCCCACGAAATGTCCCGAACAACAGATCGCCATCCGCCCAAAGCTTTAGGCCAAAGAGCTCCAGCAGCTCGCCGGGATGCCTAGCACGGTGAGAGACCAAAGCAGAGCCACCATCTTGAAGTGTTATATGAAGTTTTACACCCAAAACCTCGAACATCCTCGAACTACCTGATTGTTGCTTGTTGGGCTGTCGAATCATCTCTGTCCAGTCTTTGTCTCAAGCAATGTTCAGCTCCAAAACAGCTCCAAAGGAGAGAAAGCAAACCACCCCCCCAAGAGCCACCCTGACAAGAGCCATCCTTAGGTTGGATGGAGCCAATTCAACCGATTCCGTAAAGCCCCACGGCTGCCCGGCTGCCCCCCACGTCCCACGTCCCGCGCCGCGACCCCGCGCGGAGGACCTGCGTGGATCTTCGACGACGCCCTTAGCGGTGGAGTGGCACAGGCGCATCCGAAAAGGGAAACGGAAGAGATCGGACAAGACTAGTAACAAGTGCATCGCTAGTAGTAACAAGTGCCTTACTAGTAGTAACAAGAAGCTACTAGGAACAAGTGCCTTACTAGTAGTAGCAAGAAGCTACTAGGAACAAGTGCCTTACTAGTAGTA